CCTCTCCTCTCACCTCTCCTCTCTCCTCTCCTCTCACCTCTCCTCTCACCTCTCCTCTCACCTCTCCCCTCTCCTCTCTCCTCTTCTCTCTCCTCTTCTCTCTCCTCTTCTCTCACCTCTCTCCTCTCCTCTCACCTCTCCTCTCACCTCTCTCCTCTCCTCTCTCCTCTCCTCTCTCCTCCTCTCAGATGGAGCAGTCCAGTTAAAGATGGCCAACCTGGCTCCTCCTAAAGAGAAGATTCTTCCAATCCCAGAAGGCAGTGCGTTCTTCTGCCTGAGCAAGACGAACCCGTAAGTCTGTCTCCACCTGGTCCACATGTATTACTGTTAGCATTAGTGTTAGCATGGCCCAGCTGCTTTACAGGTAGAAGTATTAGCATTATTGTTAGTATAGCCCTACTTCTAAACAGTATTGCTGTTAGCATTAGCCTGAGCATGACCCACCTTCAACATAGTATTACTCTTAACAACTATTAGCATTAGCATTAACATTAGCATGGCAGGTCAAGTCTATAAAACCTCCTGAAACCTCCGTCAATCGATGGAAGTTTGACGTATATATTCAGTATTGTAGTTTTATGGGACTTTTATTCTCCGTCAGGACTTCCTGTCTCACACAGACTTGAGGTGTGTGTACTCCAGATACCTGCCTACCTCTGACAGGAAGTTCTTCTCTCTCTCTCTATCTGCAGTATCCGTAGGGCCTGTCACACTCTGATCCACCACCACATCTTTACAAACCTCATCCTCGTCTTCATCATTCTCAGCAGCTGCTCATTGGCTGCCGAGGATCCAATCAGAGCCCACTCCTTCAGGAACAACGTGAGTCTCAAACCAGCTCTTATTGTTTCTATTTAGTTTTATTGATGTTTGATCTGATGTGTGTCAGCAGCTGTTAGCTGTCGTAGGATCAACATGTAGCTGCAGTCTGCTGCTAGCATGCTAACCTGCTAGCATGCTAACATGCTACTGGTGTGATCTAATAAAACTGTTGATTTGATAATCTCCTGGTGTGCAGAACAGTTACATCACTCATAGATGAATCACAAACAATACAATTAAATGTAGTAAACTAAAAACTAGCATTGTAGCAGAGCTGGGCCCTGTTCCTCGTACGTGGTTCAACTAAGTCGATCAAATGTCCTATTAGCAGCCTAAATTAAGGAGATGATTGACATTAGGCTATCTGGGTTTCTCCAAGGCTGATCCTCTCAAACAGTCTCGTTAATTGGAACCAGACGATCAGGATCAGGATAATTGCGCGTGCCCGTCCTGCTTCAAAAGGGGGAAGCGTCGATCACCGAAACCATGATTTTCTAACAGTACAATGTTAAATAAAGTCAAAGAAAGAGCCTCTTTTTACTCCGCTGACAAGCAGGAGATGATCATGAACGCATATGAGGAATTCAAGACCATAATCACGGCTAAATATAACACCTCCACCGCTGCGAGGGCTAGACAAGAAGCACGCAAAATATCACACACACGTTAAATGCGTAAGTGTTGTAAATGTATCGGCTCATTTTAATGCCTCATCACCCCAATCAATCAGATGATATGTCTTTAAATGAGCTGCTGGCAGTAGGCTTAATGAATGCATCATCCAATGAGATCTATAGCGACAATAATGATCTCAACTCTTTCACAATAAGATAAAAACAAGCCCAAAGAGCATCTACTGATCCTCATTAATATGAGGATATATGTACTGTATGCCCTCATGTATCATGTACTATATATGTGTATATACATGTATGTGTAGATCACCATATAGAACTAGTTTGAATCTGTGTGTGTGAATCTGTGTGTGGGCGGATCAGTGTATGTGTGTGTATTATTCATCATCACACATTCAATCAACTGAAGCAGTGAAGATCAATAGTGTGTGATTCTCTCTGTTCTTATCATGAGTCCACCTTCATCATGTTCTACAGTAATGATATGCTGGTGTACTAATAACACTGTCATATCATTATGAGTGCTTTAACCCTCATGTATGCAACGCAGCCATCAAGAGGACATGGGAGCAAGTAAACACTAACACACACACATTACTCAGAATGCTGAGTCAGTATCCGGCTAACTCAGTTAGCCACGTACAAGGAACGGGGCGCTGGATGTGGCCTGAGCGAGGTCTCGTCACGATGATGTCGGTGATGATGTCGTCAACACACCTCTGTGGTTTAAGCTGGGGGGGCGGGGCTTCAGCAGATTACAAAACAGAAGTGGGTCAGTGGCTAACCGGGTTAACTCATGGAAACACATGGAGAGAGAATCACCAGTTTACTATCTGATCCTGACAGAACTGTGCACGCACGCACGCACACTGCACACTGCACACTGTAGCTGGCTTCATGCAGGATGCAGCAATTAGCAGCAGCTGAGAAAAGAAATTACTTCTAACATACAATCAACACATACACACACACACACTGTATGTACACACACATAGGATATGAACTCTGTATCAGCCGCCTCTCTTCTGGATACAGCTTGTGTATTCTCTTCACGTTTCAACAATGATGTCATTTCCATGAGAACACAATCAAGAGAGAAGAAGAGTCATTTTCTCATAGACTTCTATACAACCAGAGGAATCGCCCCCTGGTGGACACTAGAGAGAATGCAGCTTTAACACATGAAGCTTTGGAGAACTTTAAAGAACATAAGGTCATGTCCATCTCTTGACTTGAGAACTGACCTTTGCTGACTGGAGGAATCTGATGGTCTTCACAGGAGACTCACCTACCTGGACTGTCAGGAATCCAGCCCCGAGTCAAGACCTTCACTGTGTGGTCCTTCTGGAGCAAAACTGGCCATGAAGATTAATTTAAAGTCATAATCTGTTTTCTGTGTTTGTTTGTGTAGATTCTGGGCTATGCCGACTACGCATTCACCTCCATCTTCACTGTGGAGATTCTGTTTAAGGTAAGAAGTCTCCTTCATTCAGGATGAAATTACTCTTCATCTTCTTCTTCTCTTGATTTGCTGCCGTTGTCTCTCTGTGTGACAGATGGCGGTCCACGGAGCGTTCCTCCATCAGGGCTCCTTCTGCAGAAACTGGTTCAATTTGTTGGACCTGCTGGTCGTCAGTGTCTCGCTGGTCTCCTTCTTCCTTCAGTGAGTATCAGATGTTCTTCAGCACCATGTTGGCCTCATAGAAACACCTGTGAGGAAGAGGTTTAGAACCCTTTAGAGCAGTACTGAGTGTGTGTGTGTGTGTGTGTGTGTGCGCTGCCCTCTGCTGGGGGAGAACAGCAGCTACAACTCTGAACTAACTGGATGTCTCCATGTTGTGATACATGAGACTGATGACAAGCTTGTCTCTACAGCTCTAGTGCCATCTCAGTGGTGAAGATTCTCCGAGTCCTCCGGGTGCTGAGACCTCTGAGGGCCATCAACAGAGCCAAAGGACTGAAGGTAACTAAGTCTGAAGGTAACTAAGTGTGAAAGTAACTAACTCTGAAGGCAACTAAGTCTGAAGGCAACTAAGTCTGAAGGTAACTAACTCTGAAGGCAACTAAGTCTGAAGGCAACTAAGTCTGAAGGTAACTAAGTCTGAAGGTAACTAGCTCTGAAGGTAACTAGCTCTGAAGGTAACTAGCTCTGTTTTGTTCCTGTGAATCTGAATGTTTGGAGACGTCCTGGTGGAGTTTATGATGTGAATCAAAGCTGACCAATCACAGTAGAGCAGCAACAGCAATAATAAGTTAGCAGCGTCACAGTTAAACACTTCTTGGTATTTAATATCTGTGTGTGTGTTGCAGCATGTGGTCCAGTGTGTATTTGTGGCCATCAAGACGATTGGAAACATCATGATTGTCACGACGCTGCTGCAGTTCATGTTCGCCTGCATTGGAGTCCAACTGTTCAAGGTGAGACGAGGAAGATGATGCTTCTTCTTCTTCTTCTTCCTTCCTCCTCCTCCTCCTCCTCCTCCTTGTAAATTAACTGTGCGTAAACCAAGGTAAACCAAAACGGGCAAAACAGGATCAGGTCATACAGACATGTGCAAGTGGCCGGACCACCGACAAGACACGTGGAGCAGGAGTCGATCAGACCACCAACAAGACACGTGGAGCAGGAGTCGATCAGACCACCAACAAGACACATGGAGCAGGAGTCGATCAGACCACCAACAAGACACGTGGAGCAGGAGTCGATCAGACCACCAACAAGACACGTGGAGCAGGACTCAATCAGACCACCAACAAGACACGTGGAGCAGGACTCAATCAGACCACCAACAAGACACGTGGAGCAGAGACGTCGTGTTTTTAGATATGTAATAGGTTATTATCTTATCTTATTTGTGGTTCTGCCTTCAGTTGAGTCCAGATGATGATGTTCTTTTATTTTTTTACCAGAAATAATATTTCCTGCTTTTGTGTTTCAGGGTAAATTCTATCGCTGCACAGACGAAGCCAAACACACTCCTGAACAGTGCAAGTAAGTGTTTCCTTCTTCAACCTGGAGCCCAACTTCAGTTTGAAATACTACTGACATGTGTGTGCTTGTGTGTGCGTGCGCGTGTGTGTGTGTGTGTGTGCGTGTGTGTGTGTGCATGTATGTGTGCGCGTGTGTGTGTGTGTGTGTGTGCACGCGCGTGTGTGTGTGTGTGTGTGCGCGTGTGTGTGCGTGTTCAGAGGAACCTTCGTGGTGTATAAAGATGGAGATGTGAACCACCCGATGGTCAGAGAGAGGATCTGGCTGAACAGTGACTTTAACTTTGACAACGTGCTGATGGGGATGATGGCGCTCTTCACCGTCTCCACCTTCGAGGGCTGGCCCGCGTGAGTCTTCAAACCAAACTTTATTAACAGAGACAGAACAAGTGAAGTAGGTCACATGAGATGTTTAACCCTCTCCCTCCAGGCTGCTGTATAAAGCCATCGACGCTAACGGGGAGAACTCTGGACCCATCTACAACTACCGAGTGGAGATCTCCATCTTTTTCATCGTCTACATCATCATCATCGCCTTCTTCATGATGAACATCTTTGTGGGCTTCGTCATCATCACCTTCAGAGAGCAGGGAGAGCAGGAGTACAAGAACTGTGAGCTGGACAAGAACCAGGTAGGACTGAGCCAGGAAGCTCCTCTTCTTCTCTGGTTAGAGACGTCAACCAGAGAACATCTAGGGTACATCCCAAGTCTCCTATTTGTCATTTCCTCGCTCCTCGATCCTCGTTCGAACCGGAAGTTGTTCTGCTCTTCCATATTGACGGCCGTCCCAAAGCTCTTATTTAACTCTGAGGAGCGAGGATCGAGGATGGAGGAGGGATCTCTGAGGAGCCATGAGTGAGGACCCAGGAGAACAGACTTCCAGGAAGTGTTTTAACGGCCGACACGCCCCCTCACTGTTCAGTCAGTCATGTGATTGGACGCGGCAGGCGATCGGACTGATGAGATTTTGTTCAACATGTAAACAGTGAAGACGGATCACAGATTAAACTCTAGTTTATATTTGATTAGGTTTCTGATTCAACATCTGGTTTAAATAAATGTTCATTGTAGACTGAACAACAAAAGGACCACAAACAACTTTCTTCATTTAGTAGAAAGATTTGTGTTTTCATGATCTGATGTTTCCCTCAATAACTTTATTATGAATACAATATATATATACACTAGTGCTGGGCAACGATTAAAATATTTAATCGCGATTAAAATAGTTAATCGCGATTAATCGCATGGATTTTTTCAATAAAGTTCAATAATGAATTCAAAAGTAGTGTCTTTTATTTTAAAAGTACTGCTATATGAACAAAAGGGCAATAACATTTGGTTCACGAGATGCAGCATGTTTTATACTTAATGTGAATATAATTCATACTTTGT